GCAGGGCCTCATTGATGGCCGGCAGGCCAAAGTCCATGGTCGGCAGTGCTCCAAAAGCAACATGCCAAAAGGACCAAAACATGGTCCAAAAATGAGATAGAACTGATGCAGGGTTTGGAAAGATCAAACCTGGGGCGCTCTGCCGCGAAGTTCGAGCACTCAACGAGCAATCAAACTTGTCACTAGATGTACCCGCAGGAACATCCAAATCTTGAGGACGATCAAAAATGGGGTGTCTACAGGTTGTATCAAGAAATCATGCATCTGTGAAAACATTACAATGGCCTTACAAAAAATCCCATCCTCAAAATATCCTCTAAGAAAGAGAATCTCTACAAATCATCTCATGGAGTAATATCCAGGTAGGTAGCTTTCACAGTGCACTTGTGTTCCCACCAATCAAAGAAAAAAGAAGTTATATTTACTTATTTAGGATTACTTCTTGGTGAAGCTACAAACTCTAGTTCTCAATCTGAAGAGCACAAAAAAATTCTCAAAAACCTAAAAATCATTATATGAAATAAAAAATTAGATTGATTTTCCTTATATTCTAAATTAGATGCATAGAAAAATTGTGAATGTAAAACCATATAACAAAGAACAACAAAAAAACAACTAATTGTAGATGATCTGATCAAATATCAACAACCAAATTTGATTTAAATGGTTCTAAATACTAAAATCAAAACACATAGACAACAAACTATAATTCATATATAAAAAATACTAGTTTTTTCAATTACATACAAGAAAATAATGAAGGGGGAAAGTGGGTTACTCATATTCGAAAGTTATCCAGACAAAGCTCTCACCTTTTTCACGCAATAATGAAAATTTCTTCAGATTTTGGAAACAAAAAGATAAAGAACCCAGATTGAGGGGAAGGCAGAGGAGGAGAGGGGTGGTTCCTGGAGAGTTGGAAAGAAACCATATTTTGGTTCTGTCCAAAAGAGTAAGTAATCCTCCAAGTTTAACAACATACAGAAGGACTTTCACAGGAAAGAAACCATATTTTGGTCCTCTATGCAAGCCATCATATTCAGAATTCAGGAACTTCTATAAAATAAAGCTTGTTGAAGAAAGAGAAAGCTAATTGCTCCCAACACTACAAAAATCTCACAAAAATAGGGACCTAATGAAGCCACCAGCCCTCCTAACTGAATGGACTTCAAACATTCTCTCCAAAAAGAGTTCAAATTGTGGCTTCAATTGTTACCAATTTTAACAAATTCATCTTCATCTAAGAAATTTAGCCATCATACAGCAGCACAACACATTTGACTTGAATATTCATGTACACAACAAAGGCTAAATGATTGTCTTGCACAAACTATCATATGTAATTCCTTTGCGTCCATTCAAGTCTACAAACAAATAAAATGCAGTATTTTTCGTGCTTAACTAGTGACCTATTGTAGAGAAAAATTATTTGTCACCCCGTTCAGCAATAAAGACAAGCAGGAAGGTGCTAACGACTGTGCTAGTAGAGCCCAAAATCCCAGCACCATTTCCTGAAAATTCTAAAACTGCAACTCACTAGGAAACATTGTGGGAAAAGGAAACTAGAGGAAATAAATCCAAGACCATCACAAAAATTAAGGAAGTGACATCAATCTTTTTAATTGAATATAAGTATTAACTTGATTTCTTTAATGCATGTAAACAAATTAAAAATGTGGAATTTAGTTCTTGAAATTGGTTCCCAATCAGCTCTACAGTTGTTGTTGACTACACGCCTTTTGTCGCAAAGTTCAATTTATCACAACATAGGGCTTAACAATAATAACATAAAAATTTAAGAATAAGTTGCATAGTAAAGAAAAAGAGAAGCTTGTAAACTTCATGCCTCCAAAATATAGTTTCTTTTATGTGCAACAAGTCATTCTTATTATGAACCAACTAAAATATTGCAGAATAAAGTAATAAATCTTGGAGATGGATCACAAGGCCGCATATCAACATGGACACGGAAACTGCAAATTAAATTTATAGACATGGGAACATAGGTGTATCTCTGTCTATATGCGAATCAACTAATTTGAACTTATTTATATTTAAGTGATTGACTTTGTGTTTGTGTGAGGAAAACTATGGCAACTAAAACAAAGAAGATAATATGCTAATTCTTCAGCATATTCTAAAAGGTGTACACAACCATCCAAACTCGGGTTGGACAAAGGTGTCATGCTAACAAGGGTTTGGAAAATCAGTATTCAATAGAGAATGACTACAGTCCACCCCCTACCTTCAACCATTATTGTATGACAGTTCTATTTGGTCAAGCTCTTGATTATATTTTACGAGACAAAAATAATTTTTAAAATTTTTAAAAATAATTATTATAATCTAAAAGTTAGGAAAGATTAGTTTTCATTTTCTCATTATCAACATTAAAAAAAAAAATACACCAAACAAGACCAATGTGTTTAACTGCAAAATAATAACAAAATAAAAAATTTGAAAAATTAGAAGGTTTAATTGAACAAAAATTAGTTTGTATACTTATTTGAAAAAATAGGTAAAATTTAATGACTTGTCATAAATTACTCATTGTTACATAGTCCCACATCGACCCATTGTTAAAACTAGTAACAATGGATGTATGATTTCCTGTTTTGAAGCTCTTGCATCATCTAGATCCTCTCACCTCATAGGAGGAACATACAAACTTATACTCGACACAAATACTCTCCATGAGCAGTCTCTACACAACTGTTCATTTACTTAAAAAAGCTTTATGAAAAACATATACAGCCAAATATGTACATCCTTTAACTTCTTTAAGAAAGAGATCATATCCCATTTAACAAGGTCATAGTTAGGGCCATCAAAAAGCAATTTTCAATGGTGTTTGGAGGTATATAATCACATTGGGAAATAAGGCAATGACATGATGAAGGTTTTAAAACAGAAAACATGAAGAAAATGACTCAACTGAACAATTCAAGCTTTCAGCCAACAACTTGTTTCTACTATTGTTGAAATTGAAATTGTGAAGTGTAAGACTACACCTAGAATGAATCCCTCAAAGGATTAAAAAATAAATAAAATCATCAATTGCAGCAAAATTATTTGACAAGAAGATAAATAATAGTCACTGAGATTCTCCGAGAGAGAGGTGTCTCTCGAGTTTTCCATTTTGGCGATTTTCTTAAACCAGTGAAACTTTTTCATGGATCAAAACAACTAGTAGTAACAAAATCATCAAATCTCAGCACCAAAATTAATACTACATTTCAGCGATCGTGTATTCAAACCAGCACATCATAAATCACCACAACATAATGAAATCATCAACACAAACATTCCACCGATAAATAAGCATCTTCGAAGAATAAATCCGAACAATAGATCAAAAACCAAATCGATTTATCGATCGAACCTAGATGCTGAAATCACAATGGAGAAAGATGCTATGAGACTCCTTGGGGATGAAATTGTTGTCGAGATCAGAAGTAATCAACGAGATCTGTAGAGAAGAACCATTGCAATTGTATGAGAAAAAAAAAAATTAGGGATTTGAGAGAGAGAGAGAGAGATGAAATAGAACTTGGATTCTTTTTCTTTTCTTTTCTTTTTTGTTTTTAGATAGTCCCGACTATTGAGTTCAAAAATCAATATATAAAATAAAATAATGTATCATTTGAGTTTATTAGGCTGCAACTAAAATTGTAGGTAAAAGTGATTGATCCTCTTACAACTAAATAAATTTGTCTAAAAAATGTAATAACATGATTAAATATTTTTTTTTTAAGGCTGTGCAACGGATCCATTGACCCTCCAAACCCGCCAAACCCGACCCGACCCGACCTGACCCGACACCTGATGAATGGATGCGTGACCCATGGCGAGCGGGTGCAGGCCTAGTTTTCCAGTTTTCTCGGGTTTGGGTCGGGTGGCGGGTGATCCGCCATTTTACCCAGTAGACCCGACCTACCCATGACTTTTTTTTTTTTCTTCCAATTTTTCCTTGCACCTCAGGCCCCTTTCTTTAGATTTTGCCCTAATTTCTTGACAAACCCAACAACCAACCCAACACACACATGCAGAGACTCTCTCTCTCTCTCTCTCTCTCTCTCTCTTTCTCTCTCTCTCTACCCTACCCATCATCCGACAATCTACACAGTGAACCTCTGACCAACGATCTACACTGAACGACCGACGACCTACACTTCTGAACGGCGATCGATTTGTATTGAACGACGATTGATCTATAGTGAGGTATCTCTCTCTCTCTCTCTCTAGATAGAAGATATACAGATACCTCTCTCTGTATATATATTGTGTATTGTCATAAATGGAAGTGTTAAGAATCTTCTTGACAAAAGTAACAAACAGAAGTTAATATATATATATGCTCTAATAATTTATTTATAAGTTCCAGCAGGCCAACAACCTTTACTGTATATATTAGAATAGATTTCTCCTTTCCCTTCTTATTTTTGCTATGTTTTGGAACTTTAGATGCATTTGGATTTTGGCTTTGTGAAAAGAAAAGGAATTGAAAATTAGTAGAAGAAGCTAAATTTGTTTTGTTTGGTTGGGTTAGAAATATAAGCAGAAAATTAATAGGTCTGTGACAACAACAACAAAAAAATCATTTTTTTTGTTTAGTTAACCATAAAAAATGAATATGCATCAAATCATTTATCCGAACACATCATTAATTGATTTATAGCTGATAAGGCCTTGCATAAATACTTGGATATCATTAAAGGCTTGACTACTCTGTTTCAATCACTTTGTAATTAGAATTCTCAATTATAAACTTGTTTTAATCAGTTGGATTGTTTTCCCTTATTGATTTGTTTGATTATTGAGAGGACATATCCAAAGAAATTAAACTAGTTTTTTTTTCCCCTTCGATTGAGTTGATAAAAAGACATTGAAATTCTGTTGAAATTCTGTTAAGCATCTCTGTTGTTAGACCATGGATTTGAAAAGCATATTTTGAATGAATTTTTATTGGTTTTGGCAGTATATTTGATAATCTTGTGGTCATGGATCCTTCAAGTGAAGAAACATTTTTTGTGAGTCCTAATGTTGAGCCCGAATCATCTTCTATTGACCCCTCCACCCAACCTGATGCTCTTTCTCCTAGACCACCCCTAGCCAAAACTAGTAGTAGTAGTGGGAGAATAACATCAAAGGCTTGGGATCATTTTGAAAAGATTAAGGGCATTGATGGGAAAGATAGGGCTATGTGCAAGTATTGTAAGAAAGAATATATGGCCGATTCTAAGAGTTATGGAACAAGTAATTTGTTAAGTCATTTGAAAAATTGTACAAAATATCCATATAGGGATACTCATGGGCAACAATCATTGGGATTTAAACCTAGAGAAGTTGGTGGGGAGGGTGTTGTTGATGTTGTGGCTACGTCATTTTCTGTAGAAGTTGCTAGAAGGTATCTTGCGGAGATGATAGTAATTGATGAATTGCCCTTTAGATTTGCGGACGGGGTTGGTTTTAAGAGGTTTTGTAATGTCATGCAACCTAAGTTCAAGATCCCATCTCGATATACCGTTGCCAGGGACATTCTAGGCATATATACCAATGAAAGGGAGAAGTTAAAGAAAATTGTGAAGGGGCGTAGAATTTGTTTTACCACAGACACATGGACTTCCATACAAAATTTGTGTTATATGTGTCTAACTGCACATTTCATTGATGATGATTGGAAGTTACAAAAGGGGATCATAAATTTTTGTCACGTTGAAGACCATAAAGGAGAAACTCTTGGTAAAAAAATTGAGGCACTCTTAAAAGAGTGGGACATTGATGGCCTTTTTACCTTAACTGTTGATAATGCGAGTTCCAATAATCTAACCATTAGATTCTTGAAACGAACCACAAAACTGTGGAAAGGAACTGTCTTGGGCCATGAATTTTTACACATGCGTTGTTGTGCGCATATTCTAAATCTCATTGTTAGTGATGGATTATAGGATCTTGAGTCTTGTATAGCGAATGTGAGGCATGCAGTGAGGTATGTGAGGTCTTCTCCAAACCGCCTTGACACTTTTAAAAAGTATGTGGAAAGTTTGAAAATTGAAAGTAAGAGTCTCTTATGCCTAGATGTGCCAACACGGTGGAGTTCCACATATCTTATATTGGTGGCGACGGAAAAATTTGAGAGTGCTTTTCAAAGAATGGGTGAGGAGGACTACAATTACAAACACTACTTTTTGGATAATGAAGGGGGTGAGAAGAGAGAGATGCCTACAGCCAAGGATTGGGATAATTGTAGGGCGTTTTTGAAATTTCTTAGAATGTTCTACAATGCCACAAAGAGATTTTCTGGGTCTTTATTTGTTACTTCAAACACATTCTACACTGAAATTTTTGTCATTGAAAATATGATTGAACAATTAATCAAAGGCAATGATCCTATTTTGTCTTCAATGGCAAAGAAAATGAAAGAGAAGTTTGACAAGTATTTGGGGAAATGGGGATAAAATCAATCTACTTTTGTATGTTGCGGTTATGCTTGATCCTCGAAGAAAAATGACATACTTGCAATTTTGTTTTTCAACAATTTTTTGTGGAGATGTGGTGTAAGTGAAAGAAATGTTAGACAAGATGAAAAATTGCTTGAGTCAATTGTATGATCATTATGCCACACTTGATTCAACAAATGTGCATGCCTCCAATGTAAATGAAAGAGTAGCTATGGTGATAGATGAAAATGACCCATACTCTATTGTGAACTCTCAATTTAACTCATTTTTTGAGGGGCAATTTTCTAATAGTGGAAGTATCTCGGAATTGGACAAGTACTTGGGTAATATTGAGAAAGTTGGGAATAATGCTCAATTTGATATCTTGGAGTGGTGGAAGGCTAATGCAAGAAAGTATAGAGTATTATCACTTATAGCACGAGATGTGTTGGCAATGCCTATTTCCACAGTTGCTTCTGAGTCGGCTTTTAGTACAAGATGTCGTATACTTGATCCATTTCGTAGTTCACTTGCTCCCAAGATGGTGGAAGTTCTTGTTTGTACACAAAATTGGCTTCAAAGTAACATTCCAATATGCCTTCGACAAGCGATGGAGGATGTTGAACAATTTGAATAACAATATGATTCGGGTAATATATGCAATGATTTATTTATTTTTTATCCATTTCATTTATTTTGTGTTAGTCAAAATTCATTATCTTCACTTTACATATTTTTGTTGTGTTATGTTTTTTGTGTAGTTGTTTTGAAATCAAGTTCATGTTCAAGCCCAAGTCCGGAGAGTAATTTTATTGAAATTTAATATCGTTGGTAAAATACTTCCCTTTGGTTAAATGTTGTTAACATATGTTTACTTGTTTTAAGTTTAATACCTTTTAGTGTTTTCTTTATTAAATAATTTTATTTTTTTGTTTTACAGGTTTACATGGCTCATGGTTTGGTGAAAGGGAATGAATGATTTTTTTGCTTCTTTTTGGATGACTGTAACTTATTTTTTTTGCATGTACAATGTTTGTTGGATGATTGTTACATTTTTATTTTTTGGAACTCTTGGATGACTGTCACTTGAATGCGCAACGTTTTCCTTATGTTTTATGTGTAATTTTATCATTGCACAACTATAAAATTTATTAAATTTTATAGTTTTATTATTTTACAGGGTTTATGATTTAGTAAAATGAGTAAAATTTGTGGTATCATATACGTGAAGTGTTGTAAACAAAATAGATTGATTTTATCTGGTGGTGGTGATTAATAGATTGATTGTTGATTGTGGTATGTTATGGTTGATTGTGGTATCATACTTTTGTATAGTGATTGTGGTTTCATACTTTTGTATGTTGGTGGTGAGGCACTCCACTCCACTGGTATGACATTTTCCATCTGGTTATCTTTTATTGGATATGTTTGGAATTATGTATGTTATGGTTGACTGCTGTAGTGTGGAAATATCTATGATGTGAAAAGGGCTGAAAGTGACGATCTTTCTTGCGTGCAATAAACAGACAGACAGGGTTGAAACACACACTGAGCTGATTGTTACTCTCTGGACAACCTCCATTTGGGAAAAAATTCCAATACAATGCCATCATTACTATCCAGGTTGTTTCATAGATGGTGAAGAATGAATAAATATTGCATTGTTTAGGGAGGGTTTTTTTTTTATATGTTGAAAATTTGTAAAATTTTAAACCGCCAAACCGATTCGTATCCATCCGCCAATCTGCCAAATCCGCATCCGTCGGATTGGCGGACGGATGCGAATTGATTTTCTCAAATCCGCCAATCTGGCGGACGGATGGCGGATTGGAGGTTTCGTGGCCGCAACCGATCCGCGACCACCCCTAATTTTTTTAAATTCCTTCATTTTGTCCTTTAAAGTATAATTTTTACAGACAAATTATTTTTGTCCCTAAAAATTTGTCACTAAAACCTTAATTTCTTGTAGTGTTGGGGTGCACCAATTTTGTTCATTAAGAAGAAAGATGGGTCTTTAAGATTATGTATTGACTACCGTGAATTGAACAAAGTAACCGTGAAGAACAAATACCCATTGCCCCAAATAGATGACCTGTTTGACCATCTTCAGGGAGCACAAGTGTTCTCTAAGATAGATCTCAGATCTGGGTATCAGTAGTTGAAAGTCAAGGCACAAGACATAGAGAAGATTGCATTCAGAACTAGATATGGGCACTATGAATTTCTAATGATGCCATTTAGGGTAACTAACACAACCGCCACTTTTATGGACCTAATGAATAGGGTATTTAAACAATTTCTGGATGAATTTGTAGTTATACTTATTGATGACATTCTGATTTACTCAAAAGCAGGAAAGAGCATGAGAATCATTTGAGAATTGCCCTATAGACCTTGAGAAGGAATAAGTTGTATGCAAAACTTCCAAATGTGAATTTTGGCTTGACGACATAGCATTTCTGGGACATGTGATCAACAAGGATGGTATATCAGTGGACCCACAGAAAATTAAAGTCATTGTAGACTGGCCAAGACCAACCAATGTGTCAGAAATTAGAAGCTTTTTGGGACTTGCTGGCTACTACCACAGATTTGTAAAAGATTTCTCGAAGCTTGCCATGCCACTGAGATAATTGACCCAGAAAAATGTACCATTTGATTGGGCTGATCATCAGCAGGAATCAGCCTTCCAAGAACTGAAAACTAGATTGGTAACTGCACCAATTCTGACATTGCCCAATGGAACCGACGGGTTTCAGATTTATAGTGATGCTTCTTACAAAGGCTTGGAGTGTGTATTGATGTAGAATGGGAAAGTGATTGCTTATGCTACTCGGCAACTTCGACCACATGAAATGACCTATCTGACCTACGATCTTGAACTTGCAGCTGTGGTTTTTGCATTAAAAATGTGGCGCCATTATCTCTATAGAGTGACTTGTGAAGTATATACAGACCATAAAAGCTTGAAATATTTCTTTACCCAAAAAGAACTGAACATGAGACAGAGAAGATAGCTGGAATTGATAAAAGACTATGACTTACAAATTTTGAATCATCCCGAGAAAGTCAATACAGTTGCAGATGCTCTAAGCCGAAAATCCATTGCCAATTTGTCTTGTTTGCTCACCGGTCAAAAAGAATGTTGTGTGACTTGGAAAGAGATGGAATTGAAATTGTGTTATGTGAATAAAGTGGAGTCTTAGTTGTTATTTCTGCTCAGCCTACAATCATAGAAGAAATTAGAGAGAAACAACTTGAAGATGAGCTCTTGAAGAAAATTGTGGATGAAATTGACTCAAAACCGAGGCCAGGATTTGTGTTTGAAAACAATGTATTGAAGTTTCAGAATCGACTTTGTGTGCCAGACTGTTTGGATTTGAGAAAACGTGTTATGGCCGAAGCTCACAATTCAAAATTTGCTATGCATCTGGGTAATACGAAAATGTACAAAGATTTGAAGCAAAACTTTTGGTGGCCTAGAATGAAGAAAAGTATTGCTGACTATATGGCTAGATGTCTGCATTGTCAATAAGTTAAAGCTAAACATCAACGACCTGCTGGATTTCTACAGTCACTTTCAATACCAGAATAGAAATGAGAGCACATTATCATGGACTTCATTGTGGGATTGCCTCGCTTTGCTCATGGTATGGATTCTATTTGGGTAATCATTGATCGTTTGACTAAGTCCACACATTTTTTACCTGTCAAAACTTTTTATAATGCGGATAAATTGGCCAACATGTATGTGAATGAGATTGTGAGATTATACGATGTACTAGTATCTATTGTATTTGATAGAGATCCCAAGTTCACTTTAAGATTCTGGCAGAGTTTACAATAAGCTTTGGGAACTGAGTTAAGACTGAGCAGTGTATATCACCCACAGTCGAAAGGGCAATCAGAAAGAATGATACAAACTTTGGAAGACATACTTAGAATGTGTGCCCTAGATTTCCAAGGTAATTGGGAAACGTACTTACCATTGGCCGAGTTTGTGTACAACAACAGCTACCATTCAAGTATCGGTATGGCTCCTTATGAAGCTTTGTACAGTAGGAAATGCCATTCTCCGATCTGTTAGGCCGAGGTAGGTGACAGACCCTTGTTGGGACCAAAACTTGTGCAAGAAACAACTGAAAGTGTGAAATTGATCTCACAAAGATTGAAAACTGCACAGAGCTGCCAAAAGAGTTATGCGGATGTCCGAAGAAGAGATCGAGAATATGAAGTAGGGGATCATGTGTTCATCAAAGTAACTCCTATGAAAGGGCAAACACGGTTTGGAGTGAAAGGCAAGTTGGCACAAAGATATGTTAGGCCATATGAGATCCTTGAGAAAATCAACCCGGTGACATATTGGGTAGCCTTACTGCCAGTCATGGAATATATGCATAATGTTTTTCATGTCTCAATGTTTGAGGAATATTTACAGGATCCACACCATGTTATTGAGCCGACCCACGTGTTTCTGAAATATGACTATATGTACGAGTAAAGGCCAATCCAGATTGTGAATCGTAGAATCAAAAGATTGAGGAACAAAGAAATACCATTGGTAAAGGTTGATTGGCAAAACCACGGAAGGACTTATGCAACTTAGGAGACTAAAGAAGACATGATGAAGAGATACCCTAACATGTTCCCTCTGGACCCGATATTCTTGCAGACGGAAGGAAATTCGAGTTTAAAGGACCAAACTCTTTAAGGGAGGAAGACTACAACAACCCCAACCTGTGATTAACTAGTAATCTATGATTAAGAATGCCTAATAATTAACTAAGATGAAATTCTGAATTAATTGCATGTGCGTTGCATTATTTGTGTTTGTATCTGTCTATCGTAGAAAGATCTGTTCATGTTTCCGTTTTGTTCAGTGAATTAAAGGCCTTATGTGTTATTTGGAATATTTAGAGCAAGAAATTGACTTGCTGTAGACACCCCATTTTTGCCTGTCCTAAAGACTTGGACGTCATCGATTGAGCGCTTGATGATTGCGCATGTTTACGCTCGTT